GAGGACAATCTTGGAATAATAAAAAAAACTTTAAAAAAAGAACTAAAACTGTGAAACTATTTCAGAACATTGTAATCTTAAAAAGGTCAACATTTCTGTTAAACTTTGATTATAAATATGCGTTTGTAAACTAAGGAAATACTTCTTTTGATATTAGTCATAGTCAAGTTTTTCCATGTTTGCGATTTGTTCATTAGCTTGCTAAAAACGTTAGTTCCGGTATTTTTCTATACGGTAGTTTGTGGCTGTTTTTTTTAGGGCACGTTGGTTCAGACTATAGAGCTAATCACCAAGCTCCTACTGCTCCACATTAGACTCTATAAAGTTTATTTTAAATAATTTATATTGTTTCATTTATAAACTAAGATGTGTTTGTATACAATAACAATACTACTTATTTTGATAACGGTCATTTTAGTTTTTTCATTTTTGTAACTTGTTCTTTAGCTAGCTAAAATGTTAGCTCCGGTAGTTTGTGGATGCTTTTTTTTATGGCACATTGGTTAAAACTCTACTGCTTCAACATTATTAATTTTACGATTTATCATTTATATTTTTACCATTTATGCTCTAAGAACATTAATCATTTTGTTTACATGTATTTCCATGTCTCAATCAGGCAATAAGCTTTACATTATTAAATCAAGAAATCAAATATTACATTAGATTATTTATTTTGATTTATTCTCATATACAGTAAATCTTTTGTAAGCGAGAGGAACAAGTTGCCACACAATACTGTATCTGTAAAACTAACTGCATGGCAAAGGGAATCTGTAAAGGAAAAAGGTCGATTGGTCACAAAAACCTAAACACTGAGACCCAGGTTTTTGTTTAGTGTGCATTTATTTTAAAATTTCCTCCGGCTATTTCAATTATGAGAACCTCATAGACATTAAAAATAAATATTGTTTTTGGTCAGTTAGTAGTTCAAAAAATAAAATGTCCTGAATAAGGTATAAGTTGAACTGAATAAAATATTAAGATGGTATGAAACCACTATTCACTCTTAAGGACATAGGCTTTAGAAAATGAATAAAAATAATATAAAAACAATCAACGTAGCTCAAATTTTTATTTTTAAAGTGATTTGTAGATCCTGGATGATAGAAGCACAGAAACACAAGTTCTGAGTCTCATATTACTAAAATACCAAATGTAATCATCAAAAAACAATAAAATACTATATGTTTGATCTACAATAAGCAGCGTTTTCTAAATACACATTTCTAAAAAAAAAATCCATTACTTTAGAATTGCAATTTCACTTGAAAGATCCATGTTGCAAAAAGATATTTTATATTTTTAAACCCATGTCTCCAAATAATAAATGTAGATCCAATGTTTTTAATTAAATATAACAAAAATAATTTTCATCCTGTTAGCTGTTTATGTTCACCATCTACAAATTTCATTTTCATAAAGAGCTTTTTATATATTTTTTAATAGCTTCACCAAATGGACCAGCAGAGAAAAGATGGAGGAGTTGAAAAACTGGTCCAGTGTTCAGAAAATCACAAGTTTTAACACGGCAGAAAGTGATACGAAACAATTTAGAAATACTTTTTTCTTTCCATCTGGAAATGTTCATTTGATACCCGTGAAACTTTAGATAAACAGCACAAAAAGAAAATGTGTTTGTTTCATTGTTTTTTCTTTTAACATTGCATTCTGGCAATAAGTTCTTCATCATTAGAAAGCCATTTGTTAGAAAAATCGGTTCTGGGTTGCATTCAAGAAAAACTTGTCATATCTTATTTGCTGATGCCAAATAACTTATTCCGCTATTTTGTTTGGTGTTGTTGATTGAAGTGGACGATTTAAGTCTGAAGAAAAAAGGACATATTGGCTATTTACTAATTCATACATTTAACAGGGGGAGTAGTGGCGCAGAGGTTAGAGAAGGTGGGCCTGTGATCGGAAAATCACCGGTTCAAGCCCCGGTACAAACAACATCAAAGATGTGGGTGGGGTAAGTGAAGCACCCACACCTGCCCCCACCCTCATTCGCCCCACCCTGGGCCCATGAGCAAGGCCCTTAACCCCCATCTGCTCCCTAAACAAGTCTCTCTTGAAAATGAGTTCTCATGGCTCAATGAGACTACCTGGATAAATAAATGGTAAATAAATAAAAAAAATAACAGAGGCTTCAGTTGCATGTGGAAGAACCATACACAGCCACAACAGACACATCTTCTTCCCATTGTTGTGTGTCGTCTGTAGCAGAGGCTCAGACTACAGCCTCTCCACCATGCTGGTCAACAGCTTGGTCACCCACTACTGGACTTCCAACATAAGATTTATTGCCAATGAGCATTGTTAAAATAAAGAAGCAACCAACCACATTTAATTTTTTACTTTTTGCGCTGTTTAGCTGGCACTGTAACTTTAACCCTAACCCTCTAAGGACAACAGCAAAGCTGCTGTTCAGAGCTACATTGTAGACACACATCCAGTTCTAATACTTAAGACAAATAGAAATAAAACCATGAATGACGTGCAGAGTGCCTTATGTTGCACTAGAAATGGTGTTTGAGAAAATAACACGAGCCACGCAAAAAAGCAAAACTAGTTTTTTGCAGGCTTAATGAAGAAACCTCAATGTCCTCGTTCCTCCTTCTGATAGCAGCTTGTTTGACACTTAAAAAAAAAATACTGCAGCACAAATTCATTAAAATTTTACAAAATGTTCCCACTTACAGCTGTGAGAAATGTTACGTTTGCACTGAAAGCCCATCAGCCTGAATTTATACTTACCATGCACTATAATATCTATAAATGTGTAATTTTATCTGGTTACCACAAAGTGCAATATGATCATCACAACTTTAAGCCAATTCAGAGTATCAGATAGCTGCAATAAAACACTATAAGTTACAGCGGACAAAGTCAATGCAAGGGTAGATATAGAGTAATTGATAAATAACGGAATATAAATAAGTTGAAAGCGGCTGATGTGCATGTAATACATTAAATCTAAAATAAATACTCACTTTGCTGATAACAGACACTCACCTGACTGTCTCTATTTGGTATGTTTTAAACATACTGTTTATCGATCACCCCACTGAACACAGTTCAGCTCCTTACGTAGCACAGACACCATCCGGTAAATCTACGCTGTTTACACATGGCACGGCTTCAGTTTCTAGGAACAAAAACAGATCTGTTTTGTACTTGTGGGACTAAAAAGTGCATTTAATAAACCCATTTAGACTATGGCGTTTAATGAGGGTTCATTTAGTAAATTTTATCTTTAAAATATCTAAAAGTGGCTTATCTTTTCATCTGAACACATCGGTGAAGGCTGTATGAACTAATAAGAGCCAGATGAATTAATAATGTCAGGAATATTTTCTTACTTAACTGTAAACACCAAACTGCTTGGTGTTTTATGCTTAAACCTCAACCGTGTTCAGTTATTTTTGGTCACTAGTGGGCGTTTGATGGAGGCTGGTTTGGTTTAAAATATTCCCTCCACCAAACAATTGAGAGCTGGACAATCTAGAAGATTCGGATCAGTTATGGTTCCCATTCGTCGTCGTGATGCTGCGAAGCTATGATGACTACCACGGTGAGGATGGTGCACAGCACGATGGAGGCGATGCCAACGGCCAGGCTGATGAAGGAGAAGTTGCGAGCCTCCCGGGAGGCTATTTCCGCCGTCACCATGTCCCCTCTGGCTATCGCTGTGCGCACCTGTGATAAAACCAAAAAAAAAGAGACACGTGAGGAAACGTGTTGCATAACGGGGATGAGTGGGAGCAGGAGTGTTCAACACCATGTGGATGGATTTCACTGCAGCACAGGGCGCGGACCAACACGCAGCGTACAGCTCAGACCACGAGTCCACGTCCTGTCAGCTCGGCTCAACTCACAGCCAGCTGAGCAGGCCCAGAGGACAAAATCCATTCTGTCCCGTTGCACCAACGACGGTGCCGTTACGCAACGGGGCATGCTGCGTGCACGTTGGTCAGCACGGTCTAACATCAACATAGATAAACACCAGGAATCATGAAGTGTGAACAAGTTCTGACACGCCTAAAATCACACTTAGGCTGACCTGAACAAGAAACACGGCAGCAAAACGACTGCCAACAACGAGGAAAGGCTTATGGCTCCTGAAAGGAATGCCTATCGCCCGACGCCATTCATTCCACAGTTTCAGACCAAGATCACCTCGAGTTGAGAAATAAGAGTCGTAGTTGTTTTGGTCAAATCTTGAAAATTACTATACGAGCAATAACACAGTTGTGAACAACTCTCAGCTACTACCACACCAAAAGTTCCACAATATCTGTAAAACTAACTGATTTACAGTTATTTTTATGTTTGCAAGAATCGCTTGTATGTGGCGGCCATCTTGAATGGGGCTGAAAGGCTAAACAGTTGTAAATGTACACATCGAGCGAGCACTTTCTGAAAGTTTCGAGCTATAATTTTACAGCAGTATACAAATCCAGATGTAGGATGGAGGAGCTTTTACCTGCACTGCTTTGATGATGGCAATGATGCCCGTGGGCCAGAAACAGCAGACGGTGGTGAGCACGGCGATGGGCAGGTAGTCATGTGGCGGTCGGCGGTCCATCAGAGTGATGCTGGGGGGCATTTGCATGGGGTGAATCTGGCCTGGGGGGATCCCTGGATGAGTTCCTCCAGGTGGCATGTAGGGCTGACCCTGAGCAGACAGGAAAATACCTGCTTTTTCAAAGACATAGGCTTAACACAGCCGCAGTGATGCAGCCGAGCAGCTAAACCCTGCTGGAGTCATTGGAGAGCCGGAAGGAAAAGGGAGAACATTTTTAATTTGATGTTCCTTTAAAACATTGTTCTTGTTGACGTCTGCCTCAGCATACTGCTCTGTTCAGGGCTTCTTTTCCCCATTTAGCCTTTAGCTACCAGTTTGCTCCTTTAAGCTACTGTTTAGCTCATTTCAACGTTTGGCTGCTCTTTTGCTAAATTTAAACTTCAGATAGTCTTTAGGGCTAATTTTGGCTGTTAGTTGTGACTACAGCTTGGTAACTGTTGCTAATTTGAGACGTTAACTTGTTTTGCTAATCTTACTAAAGCTGAATAATAGCTTTTAGCTACCATTTAGGTGACTTTAGCTATTTGCACCCATTATTTCCCCTAATTTTAGTCTTTAGTAATTCTTTTGCTCATTTAAGCATTAATTTTAGTCTGTAAGGCTACAATTTTGCAAAAAAAAAAAAAAATAATAATGTAGCTAATTTCAGCTTTTAGCAACAAGTTTAATTAGGGCTACAGTTTTGCTAATTCTTTTAACTATGGTGTTGGTAATTTTAGCTTTTAGCAACAGTTTTGCTCATTTTAGTTCTAAGCTAATGTTTTGCTCATTTTAGGCTTTAGCTACAGCTACAGTTTTGTTAAATCTTTTAACTATTTGTATATACATATTTTATTTTAGCCTTCAACTACAGTTTCACCTCTTAATGTCTTTAGCTACAATTTTGCTAATATTAACCTTTAGCTACTGTTTTTTCAAATGTTTTTTCCAATGGATTTGCCTTTTTTTTTTTTTTTTTTTTTACCTGTAGGTAGTTTTACATTTTTTATCTTTAGGAACTCTTTCAGGTTCTGTTCTGCTCATTTCAGTTTTAGCTTCTTCGTGTTTCAGCTGTCATTCAGCGCTCACAGATTTCTCTCTATTTAGCCTTTCGGTCATCTGTCCGTCTGACTGATTCTGATGGATTTCTACATTCTGGTTGCAAAGTCACTCATGAAACTTAATCAGTGTTTTTAGATCAGATTTTAATTACAAACAGGTCATTTATCTCAGGTTTCTACCAACACCTACCTGCTTCTTCGCTGTATTTTCACATATTCTCATTCTAACTCGTTAGCAGGGAGAGCCTCGGCGTGGACTGCAGCTTTAAGATTTTTTTTAAACATGCTCAGTTTTTTTCTTTACTGTATATTTAATTGCGCGCCTCGCTCAGAGACTCTGCTGCGCATCTTTAAGCCTCATCAAGACGTCAAAATTCATTAGGGGTGAACCCATAAATGTATAAAAGGCTCAAATTATTTCATGAGATTGCAGCGCCGCAGTGCAGATGTTCCAGCTGTCATTTTTTATGATTCGCAGTCACATTTCTGCCTTATTTTCCCACTTTACTGCTCTGGTTTTATATTTGTAATAAACAGCTCAGACACAGAAACTCACTTCCACAGACGTGAACTTCTGCTTTAAATCTGCCTTTTTCCCCTGATACAGTAGATTTGACTTAAAGATTTGTATTCATCCACTTTTTCTCATCAGGTTTAAGAAATCCTCATAAACTGTGGCCCCTTTACAGTTTTCTTTAATCTGAACTCACATTGCCTTTAAATTATTAAATTAATGAATCTATAATTTTGTGGGTGGCTGTGTCTGAGTGGTTAGAACAGTCGTCCTCCAACGCAAGAGTTGGGGGTTCGATTCCACCAGCAGTCACATGCCGAAGTGTCACAAAACAGTGAACCCCTCATTGCCTCTGATGTGTCTCCCATCAGTGTATGAATGTGATAAGCTCTGATTATGCTGTATGAATGGGTAAATGAGGCACAGATTCAAGTGTAAAGTGCTCTGAGTATCTTGATAAGATAGAAAGGTGCTATACAAGGACAGTCCATTTATCATTTACATCGTATTAATAATATGTATGACTACAGACGGTGTTACAAAGAGCCATATCTTCTAGGTTACAACATCTGTTAGTCTACGGCCTTCTATTTTGATATTGAGAACCCAAAGACACGTTTTAGCTTAAAATGCTGTTTGTGTACACAACAATGGTGGCCATTTTCTCTGACACAAAACTTCTTTGAACCCAGGTTTCAGATTGGAGGTTTTTTGAAGCGTTTGGCATCGGTGTGAAATGGCGTGCGCACTAAGGACGACTGCAGTACAGTAGACCCTTGATACTTCAAGGTTTGACTTTCGCGGACTCACTCTTTCGCGGGTTTTCAGCGTAAGATTGTACACGATACACTGATTGATGGAAGGCAACCAACCAGAGCATTGTGCTGAGGGGTGGACTGGACATCGGGAGCACCGGGACATTTCCCGGTGGCCTGGCCCGCTCAGTGATCGTCGAGGGGCCCCCTCCTTTCTCTTTCTGAGGCTGTTTGACACAGCAGAGCAGAGACACTCAGCCTCAGAAAGAGAAAGGAGGGGGCTGGTGGTGGGGGCTGTCTTTCCCCATCGCTGCTGTGGGAGCTTCAGTCAGGCGGATACCAGAGTGAGAGGCATGGATTGTTTATTTAAACAATCAAGCACGACTTAAACTGAGCCATTAGTACCCCTCGGCGATCACTGAGTGGATCAGGCCACCAGGAAATGTCCCGGTGCTCCCAATGGCCAGTCCACCCCCGGGCACTGACTGGCTCAGTAACCGTAGCATCAGTCTGTTTGCTCTGTTTTGCTGTGCTCTTTTAGAGAGTTTAGAACATTGTTAAGAACATTGCAAGAGTGTGAGAAGGGTTTGTAAAGCCTCAAAATATATAAACACTAAAATAAATATAATGTCCCTACTTCGTGGACCTATCGTGGTGGTGTCTGGAAAGTAACCCCCAGGGACTACTGTAAATCCAATAGTATTTTTGCACAAGTAGATGCATGACAGTAACAATGGTGGAAAGCAGAGTGCTGTTTGTCCTGCTCACTCTTCTTCAGTGTATTGGAGTGACCCAACTTCATTTTTGGCCCAAACAAACGCTCATGTGTGTACCCTTTTGGATATAACTGTTTTCATGCAAAGACTGAAATGTTCGCAAACATTTCAGCACCAACTAGTGACCAGGCATGGAAACTACAGCAGATTTAACAAGCACGAATAAAATTAACCATGTGTAGCTTTGATACATAAACAGAACAGAAAGACAGGCATAGCACCTAGCAAAATGGCGGCCAAAAAAAAAATCTTGCCTGGAGCCATCAGTGGTCATTCCAGTGTTGTTGAACAATTGCAGGTGATTTATTTGATCACAGTTTGTGTTCAGCATCAGAAGATTTGGTAATGAGTTTTTTAAATCTTTCAAAAAAAATTAATCTCATTGTTTGTTTAGCTCTTTTTATTTTATTATAAAATTTAAACGTTAACTTTTAGGGGAAATTTAAGGTTTCAGCACAGGAAGTTTCTACTTGAGTTTTGTTTAAACCCTCCTGCTGTCCTTGGGTCAAAATGATTCATGAGGCCTCAGTTTTAAGACGTCATAGATCATTTTGACCCAAGGACAGCAGGAAGGTTAAGGATCTTTGAAGTAGAAAGTCAGACACTTAAAAACAAAAGGTATTTAAAATCTTTTCCAAACCTTTTCTCCTCAATGAGCCTTTTCCTGGAAAACCTTTTTCTTTGCCTCGCAAATGAAAGTCATTTGGCAAATAAAGAAAGTCAAACTGAGCTTGATCTAAAGCAGGGATGTGCAAACTGATTCACAGGTGGGCCAAAACTAGATGAAAGGACTCGTGGGCCAGAACATTTTGAATCTAAGAAAAGAAAAAAAAAAAAAGAAAAAAGTGAGATTGTATTTTTCCCCCTCATCTTTAAATTCTCAACAACTTGAACAAAACTTTGGAGAAAGGCTATAAGTTTAGTTTAAATTATTGTAGATCCAGAACATTAGGAGCCTCATTAACATTAACCTTTGTTTATTTATTTATTTAAATAATTTAATTTATCAGATATTTTGGGGTCTATTGTGTGTTTTCTTGTGCCTGGAAAGTTCATTTTCATTTATTTTCAGAGATAAAAGCCAAAAATGAGTAACAGCTCTTTAAAAAAGGGGGTGGAGCTTCAAACACCCGTTTGGACCATGGATGGCCTAAATGGGCCATCGAAGTTCTGAAAAACCGTCCAGCTGGCATTCACTAAAACAGATTCATGGAAGGGTTAAACAGATACTGATAAAGTTGATCAACTTGTATGGCGATGATACCACTTTATATTTCTTTAAAAATGGCCAATTTCTCCCCATCGATTATTAAATCAATTGAAATTATTTTCGTTGACAACACTTGTAATATTTAGCCAAGTTTTATGAATTATTATCCAAAATTCTACTTTTGGTTGGTCAGTGAAGGTTTGTTGTAGGATAAAGGGATTAATTATAGCTAAATATTTGTATTGTTTAACATCGCTCATTTTGAGAAGATTATTTTAATCTGTTTTGCTGTTAAACCTACAAATTTAAAAAGTACCACCATTAGATCTAAAGAAGGTCTGCGTCTGCATCAAGCTCTTAAGCCTGTGAGTCAGAATTATATCATTCTTTAATTGCGGTGGTGGGCCACACAAAATCAGTCCAAGGGCCACACTTTGGACACCCCTGATCTAAAGTAAACTATTTAAGCGTAACTCTTCTTCATTTTCTAATTTTTCCTTAACAGTCCTCCTTCATAATGACATCCAGTTAAATTACGGGTTGATTACCGGAACAGTTGGCGCCACGAGGCGGCAAAGGAAGGAGGAAATGATTGATTTAACAGAACTTCTGAAAATAAACTCAGAGACCAGAAAATTCTGTCTGTCTCCTTACAAACAAAAACAAAGAAAAATCAAGAAATGCGACTCATCCGGTCAGATTTCAACACATCACTTTGTGACTTAATCCTCCATTCGACAAGTTGTTCTGGAGTGTCGTGAACAAAAAACCTTATTAGAAACTTTAAATATGCTGCCGGACAAATCTTTTGTTTTGGACTCACCGATGACATGGGATAGACGGGTACGTAGGCAGTGCAGGGCTGCAGCTGTAGGGGGTAGCCTGGGTGGATGTACCCCACAGAGGGGTGCGGCATGGTGCCCCCGGAGCCCTGGGTCTGGACGGTGTAGCCCTGTTGAGCTCCGGGTGGCCCCATGGAGCCACAATTGAACTGGGTTTCCTGGTGATACCCCTCAGAAGTGGGCGGAGGAGGCGGAGCCGGGTAACTGGGCTGAGTTCCTGGAGCGATGGGCATGCTGGGATGCTGCTGCGCGTTGGGGTCCGGGGGCCCTGGCCGGTACGGAGGCGGCTGCATGGTCTGACAGCCAGAATTATCAAGTCCTGAGAGAAAAGGAAGAAAGATTAAGGAAAAATAAAAACAAAACACTTGCTTTAAGTGATGCTTATCACCGGCAGCCTTTCATGAGCACAATCTCATGCTCAAAGTTTTGCTGGTGACCGACTCTCAGCTACTACCACACCAAATTGTAGCGCAATACCTGTCAAACTGACTGAGTTGTAGCCATTTTTAGTTGACTAACATGGATTAGCTGTGGTAGTAATCTTGAATCAGCTTGACTCCAATTAACCAGTTGTAGCTGAATAATCATTGAATACTTCCTAAAAGTTTCATTACAATCCACCCAGTAGTTCATATTTTGCTAACAGACACAAAAGGGTTTACGTCGGCAGTTAATGCCAACGTTTCAAGCAAAGATCTTGTGCAATGAGGAGCTCTTAAGAGTTTGTGTTTGGGATGACTCTCAGCTATTACTACACCAAATTATAGCTCAATGTCTGGAAAACTGACCAAATTATAACCATTTTTAAGTTTCTTAAGTTCAGTTAGCTGTGGTGGCCATCTTGAACTGGGTTGGGTCCAAATGTTAATCAGCTGTAGATGTGTGACAAATAAATATTTCCTGAAAGTTTCACACAAATCAATCCTATGGTTCATAAAATATTTTGCTAACAGACATTTTACATAAACATTTGTTAGAGCTCAGAGTTTGTGTTGGGGATGTCTCTCAGCTACCAACACCCCAAATTTCAGGCCATTATTTGTTAAATAATTAGAGTTGTAGCTATTTAAGCACAGCTGTCTATGGCGGCCATCTTGATGATGATGATGGACGTTTCTAACAGGGATGAAGGAGGAAAAAAAAAGCCTTTTTCTGTTTCTTCTGTTAGAAATGTGACATTTCAGTCACGGAGAATCTCATCTGTCTGCCGTCTGACACCCGTGTGTTCCCTTTGTGCTCATCAAACACAGAACATCTGTGATGGAGGGGGTTCTGCAGCAGAGAGGAGGAGGAGGTGATTCGCTCCGACGGCAACACGAGGAAGAGGAGAAAAAAACCACAGAGGTAGACGGTGAAGAAGTGGAGCTGAGCGATGACGACTAGTGGTTACCAAACAGGAAGTGGACCAGAAATGAGAGACAGGAGGTAAGGACAGCATAGGGGACAGGGACACCTTGACCAGAGGAGACAATCTGACGGAGATCACGAGGAAACACAGACGGAGCTTTTATTCTCTTTAGAAATGTTGCAGCTTCCTCTTTGAGTCGTTTCTTTTATTGTGAAAAATACAGAGAACAGGAAATCATGTTTCAAATTAAAAAAGGTTTTCCAACACATTAACAGTGTAAACACTGATCCACCTTCAGACTTTTTTTTTTTTTTTAACCCAAGTATTTTATTTTTGCTATTTTAGCCGTTCATGGATCAAAACGTTCGGCTCACTCAGCTGATGGTGGCTTCTGATTTTTGTAACTTCCATACATTTCAAAATGTTTACCTTTATTTATTTATTATTTTTTGCCACATTTCAACATGTTGAACATACTCGTTCCATTTGTTTTCTTAAGCAACTGTTAGTCTTTAGCTACCATTCCACTTTTAGCCTATAGCTAGCTTTTTGATACTGTTAGTAGATTATTTTAGCTAGTCTTTTGCTATTTTTAATTATTACCATTTTGCTACTTTAAGCTTTTAGCTACAATTTTACTTTTAGCTACATTTTGTTGTTAGAAAACCTTTAGGTTACTTATAGTCAAGATTTTTTTTTGTCTTTCTGCAAACTGTTTCCTACTTTTAGTGAGTCTTTAGCTACTGTATACTGTTAGCTAGCATTTTGCTGTTTAACTTTTGTGGATATTTTTATTACTTATAGCTTTTAGCTAGCCTTGTCCCACTGTTAGCCATCAGCTAATCTTGTGTTACTTTTAGCTGGTTATCTGATTTTTTTTTTTTTTTTTTAACTAACTGCAAGACTTCGGCTACTGTTATTTTACCTTGTGCTACTTTTAGCTTTTGCCTAGGCTTTGGTTTTAGTTTTCAATATCCTTTTTCTACTTTTAGATAACATTTAGTTACTTGAAATAATGTTTTTCCTCTTTTTAGCTTTTCGTTAATTTCTCTGGTTCTTTTAGCTTTAACAAAAATTTTAAGCAGTCAGCAGATTTTTGCAGTCATTCAGCAGTCATTCAGGAGTAATAGCTAGTGTTTTTACTCCTTTCAGCTTTAAATTGGTTTTATACTTCTTTTGGCTTAATTTGAGCAAATTTCAACTGCTATTCAGCAAATTTTAGCAGTCATTGAGCAGATTTCAGCAGTTATAGAGCAAGATTCAGCAGCTGTTCAGCAGATTTTAACAGTTGTTCAGCAAATATTAGCAACCGTTCAGCAGATATTAGCAGCCGTTCAGCAGGTATTAGCAGCAGGTATTAGCAGCAGATATTAGCAACCGTTCAGCAGATATTAGCAGCCGTTCAGCAGGTATTAGCAGCAG